TGTATGACACACCTACAGTTCACCAATAGCCTACAGTGTGACACCAATAGCCTACAGTGTGACCCTGTATGACACACCTACAGTTCACCAATAGCCTACAGTGTGACCCTGTATGACACACCTACAGTCCACCCATAGTCTAGTGTGACCCTCTATGACATACCTACAGTTCACCCATAGTCTACAGTGTGACCCTGTATGACACACCTACAGTTCACCAATAGCCTACAGTGTGACCCTGTATGACACATCTACAGTTCACCCATAGTCTACAGTGTGACCCTGTATGACACACCTACAGTTCACCAATAGTGTGACTCTGTATGACACACCTACAGTTCACCAATAGTCTGACCCTGTATGACACACCTACAGTTCACCAATAGTCTACAGTGTGACCCTGTATGACACACCTACAGTTCACCATTAGTCTGACCCTGTATGACACACCTACAGTTCACCAATAGTCTACAGTTTGACCCTGTATGACACACCTACAGTTCACCAATAGTGTGACTCTGTATGACACACCTACAGTTCACCAATAGTCTGACCCTGTATGACACACCTACAGTTCACCAATAGTGTGACTCTGTATGACACACCTACAGTTCACCAATAGTCTACAGTGTGACCCTGTATGACACACCTACAGTTCACCCATAGTCTACAGTGTGACCCTGTATGACACACCTACAGTTCAGCAAAAGTCTACAGTGTGACCCTGTATGACACACCTACAATTCACCCATAGTCTAGTTTGACCCTGTATGACACACCTACAGTTCACCAATAGCCTACAGTGTGACCCTGTATGACACACCTACAGTTCACTCATAGTCTACAGTGTGACCCTGTATGACACACATACAGTTCACCTATAGTCTACAGTTTGACCCTGTATGACATACCTACAATTCAACCATAGTCTACAGTGTGACCCTGTATGACATACCTACAATTCAACCATAGTCTACAATGTGACCCTGTATGACACACATACAGTTCACCTATAGTCTACAGTGTGACCCTGTATGACATACCTACAGTTCACTCATAGTCTACAGTGTGACCCTGTATGACATACCTACAATTCAACCATAGTCTACAATGTGACCCTGTATGACACACCTACAGTTCACCAATAGTGTGACCCTGTATGACACACCTACAGTTCACCTATAGTCTACAGTGTGACACTGTTTGACACACCTACAATTCACCCATTGTCTACAGTGTGACCCTGTATGACACACCTACAGTTCACCAATAGTCTACAGTGTGACCCTGTATGACACACCTACAGTTCACCAATAGTCTACAGTGTGACCCTGTATGACACACCTACAGTTCACCAATAGTGTTACCCTGTATGACACACCTACAGTTCACCAATAGCCTACAGTGTGACCCTGTATGACACACCTACAGTTCACCAATAGCCTACAGTGTGACCCTGTATGACACACCTACAGTTCACCCATAGTCTACAGTGTGACCCTGTATGACACACCTACAGTTCACCAAAAGCCTACAGTGTGACCCTGTATGACACATCTACAGTTCACCCATAGTCTACAGTGTGACCCTGTATGACACACCTACAGTTCACCAATAGTCTACAGTGTGACCCTGTATGACACACCTACAGTTCACCAATAGCCTACAGTGTGACCCTGTATGACACACCTACAGTCCACCCATAGTCTAGTGTGGCCCTCTATGACATACCTACAGTTCACCCATAGTCTACAGTGTGACCCTGTATGACACACCTACAGTTCACCAATAGTCTACAGTGTGACCCTGTATGACACACCTACAGTTCACCAATAGTCTACAGTGTGACCCTGTATGACACACCTACAGTTCACCAATAGTCTACAGTGTGACCCTAAATGACATACCAACAGTTCACCAATAGTCTACAGTGTGACCCTGTATGACACACCTACAGTTCACCAATAGTCTACAGTGTGACCCTGTATGACACACCTACAGTTCACCAATAGTCTACAGTGTGACCCTGTATGACACACCTACAGTTCACCAATAGACACTCTGTAAATCAATTCAATCCTTTTTTCAAACTCCTCTGACATCTTACTGATATATGGCTTCATATCAAATGTGTTCCTATTTTCTCAAGTTATTGGACTGTAAGTGCAATGGTTATAAAACTATAAAGGGCCATAACTCTGTAAATGATTATTGAATCATTCCCCTTTTCAGTCTCATCTACGATCTTATAGATAGAAAGCTGCATACTATGTTTCATTAAAATTGGCTCAAATTTTCTTAAGTTATCACAAGAAAAAGTTCACGCATAACGATGGATACGCAATGATCACTATATATGGCCATGACCTATGGTAAGGAGACCTAAAAATGAAATGTTCAAAAAGGATTTTCCCACACAAAAAATTACCTGGGTATTTAAAACTCTTTCTGTTGTCATTTCAAGTCTTCTTTAATAATCAAGTTTAAGTTAAGAATTCATGTATAACTGAATTCACGAAGAACCAGAATCAAAACACAAACAAGATTTAAACAAAATTTTAATAATGTTTAATATGAGCTTAACATTCCAAGGACAATTGATTGTGAAATGAAGAAGATATTCATCAACTTAGCCATATCACAGAATGACAGTTAACCTTAAAATATTCCTTATCCATACACAGAAATGCTATTGCATGATTCAAGGAAAAAGCGATTGACAGTATTGTAATTTTCCCAGAAATTGCACTGAAAAGGTTTTATCTTGAAATCCAATATAACTTCCAGGCTACAAATTGTTCTTTATAACATTTTCTGTCACAAAGATCAAAAGGAGTAAATGTAAATTTCTTTTTTTTTCAGGGACCTGGCAATAAAAAGAAAAAATGAGATTGTAGAAATGAAGAAAACACTTCAAAACTTGAAAAAATCTTTGAGCGAAGCAGATAGTTCAAAATTGACTGAACTACAGAAAGAAATTGAGGATGCTTATGAATACAAAGCAAGGGGGGCTCAAATCAGAGCTAGGGCAGAATGGCTAGAAAAAGGAGAAAAAAACACCAAATACTTTCTTGGACTAGAAACAAAAAAGCAGAGTATGAAGAACATAACTCAATTAAAAGACAAAAATGGGAAAGTAGTTACAAGTCAAACAGAAATACTAGAGTTAGAAAGACAATATTATGAAAACTTGTATCAATCCAAAAACCTAAATGAAAATGAGATAAAAGAGTACATTCAGTAAACTCGCACTAGAAAACTTCTCAACGCATCACGAAAAGAAAGATGCGACGGTAAATTAAAGAAGAATGTAAAAAAGCAGTGTTTGAAATGAAATTAAATAAAAGCCCCGGCCTAGATGGATTAACTGTAGAATTTTACAGAACTTTCTGGAATGAGGTTAGTGACATGGTACTTGATTCACTCAATAGTGGTTATGGACATGAAGAAATGTCAACTACACAGAAACAAGGACTCTTATCTCTGATTTTCAAAAAAGTTGACCCACTATCTTTAGACAATTGGAGGCCTATTACAATTCTCAATGTCGATTATAAAATAGCAGCAAGAGCTTTAGCACAAAGACTCCAATCTGTTCTGCCTGATATTATACACTCAGATCAAACTGGTTATATAGAAAATAGAAACATTGGTTTTAATATAAGGCAAATCCAAGATATGATAGAATATACAGAAGAAATTAAGACAAATGGTGCTTTATTATTCCTCGACTTCTCGAAAGCTTTCGATTCAATAGAATGGCCTTTCATGATAGAAGCCCTAACAAAGGAAAATGGGTCAACACCATGGCATAAGCTCACTTGGCCCTTTTGGACAGATGAACTAAAAACGATACATTTGATTGTTTATTTACTGAATCTCTAAGAATTTGTAATACAATATCTATCTCTTGAGTTATCCTCAGTTAGATTAGAGACTTGTTTTTCTTTCAAGAATATTTTGATTTTCAATTCTTAACTAATGAGTAAAGATCATAAAAAAAATTTCTGTCGCAGTATGTCATTATAAACACTGATAGTTTTCTCCGATTTCCACTAAAAATTGACGGATGGAAATTTGATCACATGGTTGATGTGCTTGAGAGAGCATGCATTATGACAAATGTATTCCTTCAAATTAATCAGCACTTCTGATGGATGTTTACAATTAAATGGACAAGAATTCTACAATTTGCATAAAATCTCTTACATAAAACAGAATAATTTTAATTTGGTGAATAACAACATTTCTTAATAAAGTAGAAAACAAGAAAAGAAAAATAGATATATAAACATAAGCTACATGAAAACCTATATAAATATTATACAAATATACAATGGAATAACCATAACATCATTATATCACAAACATGATATCACACCAACATTTATGCCTGTTCATTGTTTTGTTTTGTAAAACAACTGATGAGTATTGATAGAGTTAAATTTTACAAGCCCCAACAACCAGCAGATTCACTGCTCCCTTTGCTTGGATTTAAAGTATCACCCTTTCTTAATAAAAACCAAGTTGTTTATGAACCTCAGAATCAAAACCATTGATAATTCTTCAGTAAGAAAGAGTTATTTCCCTTGTTTAGAACTCTTTTGGCTCCTTAATAATTGTGTATTTTTTTCGAACAAATGCTGTTAACTGTCCTAAAAAGGATGAACACTGTCTGCCTCCATTGGAAGAAAAAAATTGAAACTGTGCAAGATTGACAGACAGATTGCTAGAATGAGTTCCCTCCCTTTACTGCAGCAAATTTACCTACCATATATTGAATCAATATCCTAAGGTATCGTTTTAAATGAGTTGTCTCCCCTTGTTAGAATTGAACAAGTGAAATTTTTAGTGTATAAATATTTGTCTTGCTTTAGAACAAACTAATTTCCCTGACATATTTTCCAAATTTACATTAGCAGTAGTTTTTTAAAATTAATTAGAATTGATGGTGTTACCCAGTTGAAAAAACTTATCAAAAAGAGTATCTACAGTCTCCATCCATTTAGAAGTTGCCAGTGATGAGCTGCTGGAAGTCAACAGTCAGATGGGTGTGGGTAAGTCCTCGCAGGGTTCTTAAATAGTCGAAACTGCTTTTATATTGCTGATCTGTGATGCTCAGCCTATTGAATACAGCCTTCAGACCCTCACTTCTTGCTGTTTCTATGATGGCAGTATAATTGGAGTTTGAGACTGACTGGATATAGGCTGCCTCTGCTGTGCCCTGTGCCTGAATTTCTACAGCCTCATTCTCAGTTCTCTGTACCTAAAAATAAAGTCGAAGATCTACATAGCTTAGAACGATATGATAAAAAATTATGTTACAAAAGTGAGGACCTTTGACATTTGAACTTATGAATGAGAGGAACTGTGATCTCTATAATTAAAATGTCTTGACCTCTGCTTTCTGTACCTATTAATGACCTATGACTTCAGTATTTGCAATGGCTATGACCACCTATATGTATGACCTTTGCACTTTGAACTGCTGTCATGACATACTAAACTGTGACCTCTTTTTAATTTAATGTGATGACCTGTGATCTTGACAGTTGATCTCTATGCTTCAATAATTGTTATGAACTCTGACCTCTATACTTACAATGGCTGTAGTGTTTTTCCTGATGACCTGAGCTTCCTGTTTCAGTATCTCTGTCTCCGCTTCCTCCTGTAGAAGCAGTGACTGCATGAAGCGTTCATTCACAGAACTGGAGATAGTCACACTTCCTAACTGGAAATAACGCACATCTGCATACAGTCCTTTGTCACTGGTCTCACAAGTACTGTAGGGCTTACAACCAGCAGGGCACGCTGTGGGGAAATAAGTTAGTTATTTATAGTCAATAAAGCACACTATTGGAGAAATAAGTCAAGTATCAGGGGTGGTGGGAATGGGGGTTGGGGTTGGGGGGTGGGGTTGGGGGGTGGGGTTGGGGGGTGGGGTTGGGGGGTAGGGGGTATGGAGAGGGGATTGTTCAGGGTTCACCTCCCTTATTGAAAGCCAGAATCTCCTAAAAATAATCTCTTATCTTACTGGTCAACATTTCAGATGATAAAATACTCATTGGGTTAAATAGTACTTACATGGGTGATACAGTACTTACAGGGGTGATACAGTACTTACAGGGGTGATACAGTACTAACAGGGGTGATCCAGTACTAACAGGGGTGATACAGTACTAACAGGGGTGATACAGTACTTACAGGGGTGATCCAGTACTAACAGGGGTGATCCAGTACTAACAGGGGTGATACAGTACTTACAGGGGTGATCCAGTACTTACAGCAGTGATACAGTACTTACAGGGGTGATCCAGTACTTACAGCAGTGATACAGTACTTACAGGGGTGATCCAGTACTTACAGCAGTGATACAGTACTTACAGGGGTGATCCTTAATGGGGTGATCAAGTACTAACAGGGGTGATACAGTACTTACAGGGATGATACAGTACTTACAGGGGTGATCCTTACAGTACTACTTACAGGGGTGATACAGTACTTACAGGGGTGATACAGTACTTACAGGGGTGATACAGTACTTACAGGGGTGATACAGTACTTACAGCAGTGATACAGTACTTACAGCAGTGATACAGTACTTACAGGGGTGATCAAGTACTAACAGGGGTGATACAGTACTTACAGGGGTGATCAAGTACTTACAGCAGTGATACAGTACTGACAGGGGTGATCCTTAATGGGGTGATCAAGTACTAACAGGGGTAATACAGTACTTACAGGGGTGATCCTTACAGGGGTGATCCTGTACTTACAGGGGTGATACAGTACTTACAAGGGTGATCAAGTACTTACAGGGTTTATACAGTACTTACATGGGTGATCCAGTACTTACAGCAGTGATACAGTACTTACAGGGGTGATCCTTATAGGGGTGATACAGTACTTACAAGGGTGATCAAGTACTTACAGGGTTTATACAGTACTTACATGGGTGATCAAGTACTTACAGCAGTGATACAGTACTTACAGGGGTGATCAAGTACTTACAGCAGTGATACAGTACTTACAGGGGTGATCCAGTACTTACAGCAGTGATACAGTACTTACAGGGGTGATCCTTAATGGGGTGATCAAGTACTAACAGGGGTAATACAGTACTTACAGGGGTGATCCAGTACTTACAGGGGTGATACAGTACTTACAGGGGTGATCCAGTACTTACAGGGGTGATACAGTACTTACAGGGGTGATCCTTACAGGGGTGATCCTGTACTTACAGGGGTGATACAGTACTTACAACAGTGATACAGTACTTACAGGGGTGATCAAGTACTTACAGGGGTGATCCAGTACTTACAGCAGTGATACAGTACTTACAGGGGTGATCCTTACAGGGGTGATACAGTACTTACAGGGGTGATCAAGTACTTCCAGTGGTGATACAGTACTTACAAGGGTGATCAAGTACTAACAGGGTTTATACAGTACTTACATGGGTGATCCAGTACTACTTACAGGGGTGATCCTTACAGGGGTGATACAGTACTTACAGGGGTGATCCTGTACTTACAGGGGTGATACAGTACTTACAGGGGTGATCCTGTACTTACAGGGGTGATACAGTACTTACAGGGGTGATACAGTACTTACAGAGGTGATACAGTACTGACAGGGGTAATACAGTACTTACAAGGGTGATCAAGTACTTACAGGGGTGATCAAGTACTAACAGGGGTAATACAGTACTTACAGGGGTGATACAGTACTTACAGCAGTGATACAGTACTTACAGGGGTGATACAGTACTTACAGGGGTGATCAAGTACTTACAGCAGTGATACAGTACTTACAGGGGTGATCAAGTACTTACAGCAGTGATACAGTACTTACAGGGGTGATCCTTAATGGGGTGATCAAGTACTAACAGGGGTAATACAGTACTTACAGGGGTGATCCTTACAGGGGTGATACAGTACTTACAGCAGTGATACAGTACTTACATGGGTGATCCAGTACTTACAGGGGTGATACAGTACTTACAGGGATGATACAGTACTTACAGGGGTTATACAGTACTTACAGGGATGATACAGTACTTACAGCAGTGATACAGTACTTACCGTAAGCAAATGAGGAGCAGTCCTGTCTGCAGCAAGTGCCACCCAGTCTCTCTCTGACAGCTGTAAAAATGGTTTCCTCCAACACCTTCCGATCACTTATCATTTGTCTTGTATTAAATGTTGTCGTAGCCCCCTGTAGTAGAAACATATTATTATTTTTTTGTTGCGTATGAATGAAATAAAACTGGCATGGTTTTTTGTTACAAAATGAAAAAATTTGGTTGCTGGAGTCATTTTAATACATATCTGATAAACAATAACACATTGAAAGGACCAAATTAACGATTGATCAGTCAGTATTGTAAACTCACCTGATATCCTCTGCCTCAACCTCTAAGTTAAAACCTCCATAGTAACCAGCCCTTTTTCCCAGTCAGGTTTTCACATTCCCTATTTTTTCTATCAATACAACTTGCCTTGGAACACCTAAAGACTTGTCATTATGCTCTAATTAAAGATACTTGTTTATCATTAGTCTTGCTCAACAAGATATTTATCGTCTGTACACATCAATACATGATCAAGCATCTGGTCGACTCAGACAAGGATATTAGACATATCATAGTGAGTGGGGTACTCCAACTGTGACTCGATGAATGGTAAGTTTTCAGATTCTGTATTTCTCAACTATTCGATTTAAATGCTTTAAACGTTCACAATACTACATGAAAATGAAAAAAGTTGTGGTTTGAATGACAATCTATAGTTTAATGAATAGAAACAAATCAGTTTTCAAGTCAGTCTATTTTTAAAACGTAAAAATGATCAAAGGTTTTAAAAAACATTGTAAATACAAGACCAAACAAAAAAAATTTAAGAAATTAGTCTGAAACTTAAACATTAAGAAAATCAGTTGATTATGTTGACATTAAAATCATCACCTAAACGGTGAGGACAAGTGTTCAGTCATCAACACCTAAACAGTGAGGAAAAGTGTTCAGTCATCATCATCAACACCTAAACAGTGAGGAAAAGTGTTCAGTCATCATCATCAACGCCTAAACAGTGAGGAAAAGTGTTCAGTCATCATCAATACATTAACAGTGAGGAAAAGTGTTCAGTCATCATCATCAACGCCTAAACAGTGAGGAAAAGTGTTCAGTCATCATCATCAACACCTAAACAGTGAGGAAAAGTGTTCAGTCATCATCATCAACACCTAAACAGTGAGGAAAAGTGTTCAGTCATCATCATCAACACCTAAACAGTGAGGAAAAGTGTTCAGTCATCATCATCAACACCTAAACAGTGAGGAAAAGTGTTCAGTCATCATCATCAACACCTAAACAGTGAGGAAAAGTGTTCAGTCATCATCATCAACACCTAAACAGTGAGGAAAAGTGTTCAGTCATCATCATCAACACCTAAACAGTGAGGAAAAGTGTTCAGTCATCATCATCAACACCTAAACAGTGAGGAAAAGTGTTCAGTCATCATCATCAACACCTAAACAGTGAGGAAAAGTGTTCAATCATCATCATCAACACCTAAACAGTGAGGAAAAGTGTTCAGTCATCATCATCAACACCTAAACAGTGAGGAAAAGTGTGCAGTCATCATCATCACCTAAACAGTGAGGAAAAGTGTTCAGTCATCATCATCAACACCTAAACAGTGAGGAAAAGTGTTCAGTCATCATCATCAACACCTAAACAGTGAGGAAAAGTGTTCAGTCATCATCATCAACACCTAAACAGTGAGGAAAAGTGTTCAGTCATCATCATCAACACCTAAACAGTGAGGAAAAGTGTTCAGTCATCATCATCAACACCTAAACAGTGAGGAAAAGTGTTCAGTCATCATCATCAACACCTAAACAGTGAGGAAAAGTGTTCAGTCATCATCATCAACACCTAAACAGTGAGGAAAAGTGTTCAGTCATCATCAACACCTAAACAGTGAGGAAAAGTGTTCAGTCATCAACACCTAAACAGTGAGGAAAAGTGTTCAGTCATCATCATCAACACCTAAACAGTGAGGAAAAGTGTTCAGTCATCATCATCAACACCTAAACAGTGAGGAAAAGTGTTCAGTCATCATCATCAACACCTAAACAGTGAGGAAAAGTGTGCAGTCATCATCATCACCTAAACAGTGAGGAAAAGTGTGCAGTCATCATCATCACCTAAACAGTGAGGAAAAGTGTTCAGTCATCATCATCAACACCTAAACAGTGAGGAAAAGTGTTCAGTCATCATCATCATCACCTCAACAGTGAGGAAAAGTGTTCAGTCATCATCATCAACACCTAAACAGTGAGGAAAAGTGTTCAGTCATCATCATCAACACCTAAACAATGAGGAAAAGTGTTCAGTCATCATCATCAAAACAGTGAGGAAAAGTGTTCCTAAACAGTGAGGAAAAGTGTTCAGTCCTCAACACCTAAATAGTGAGGAAAAGTGTTCAGTCATCAACACCTAAACAGTGAGGAAAAGTGTTCAGTCATCATCATCAACACCTAAACAGTGAGGAAAAGTGTTCAGTCATCATCATCAACACCTAAACAGTGAGGAAAAGTGTTCAGTCATCATCATCAACACCTAAACAGTGAGGAAAAGTGTGCAGTCATCATCATCACCTAAACAGTGAGGAAAAGTGTTCAGTCATCATCATCAACACCTAAACAGTGAGGAAAAGTGTTCAGTCCTCAACACCTAAATAGTGAGGAAAAGTGTTCAGTCATCAACACCTAAACAGTGAGGAAAAGTGTTCAGTCATCATCATCACCTAAACAGTGAGGAAAAGTGTTCAGTCATCATCATCAACACCTAAACAGTGAGGAAAAGTGTTCAGTCATCATCAACACCTAAACAGTGAGGAAAAGTGTTCAGTCATCATCATCAACACCTAAACAGTGAGGAAAAGTGTTCAGTCATCATCATCAACACCTAAACAGTGAGGAAAAGTGTTCAGTCATCATCATCAGCACCTAAACAGTGAGGAAAAGTGTTCAGTCATCATCATCAACACCTAAACAGTGAGGAAAAGTGTTCAGTCATCATCATCAACACCTAAACAGTGAGGAAAAGTGTTCAGTCATCATCATCAACACCTAAACAGTGAGGAAAAGTGTTCAGTCATCATCATCAACACCTAAACAGTGAGGAAAAGTGTTCAGTCATCATCATCAACACCTAAACAGTGAGGAAAAGTGTTCAGTCATCAACACCTAAACAGTGAGGAAAAGTGTTCTGTCATCAACACCTAAACAGTGAGGAAAAGTGTTCAGTCATCATCATCAACACCTAAACAGTGAGGAAAAGTGTTCAGTCATCATCATCAACACACCTAAACAGTGAGGAAAAGTGTTCAGTCATCATCATCAACACCTAAACAGTGAGGAAAAGTGTTCAGTCATCATCATCAACACCTAAACAGTGAGGAAAAGTGTTCAGTCATCATCATCAACACCTAAACAGTGAGGAAAAGTGTTCAGTGATCCTTATTCAACACCTAAACAGTGAGGAAAAGTGTTCAGTCATCATCATCATCACCTAAACAGTGAGGAAAAGTGTTCAGTCATCAACACCTAAACAGTGAGGAAAAGTGTTCAGTGATCCTCATCAACACCTAAACAGTGAGGAAAAGTGTTCAGTCATCATCATCAACACCTAAACAGTGAGGAAAAGTGTTCAGTCATCATCATCAACACCTAAACAGTGAGGAAAAGTGTTCAGTCATCAACACCTAAACAGTGAGGAAAAGTGTTCAGTCATCATCATCAACACCTAAACAGTGAGGAAAAGTGTTCAGTGATCCTCATCAACACCTAAACAGTGAGGAAAAGTGTTCAGTCATCATCATCAACACCTAAACAGTGAGGAAAAGTGTTCAGTGATCCTCATCAACACCTAAACAGTGAGCAAACATCCCGAGGATGGAATGTCACAAATAAAAAAATTCTGTCATTATGGCTGTGGTCACTTGATGTTGTTCAGATATCTCATTCCTTATTCATACCTTAACAGCATCAGTCGCACTGGACTTCATGACATCTTCATAATAAAGGTCATAGGCGGCATGGAGCAGTGTTAAGTCTTCTTTTCTTAGGAAATACTGAAAATAAACAGTCACCTCAACCTCTAGCTTGTCTGCTGTAAACACAGTGATATCCTCAAGTTCTAGAGAATGGGCATCGGCTTGAAAGATTTTAAATTCAACATCTGGTCCGGTGTAGAAACGTCCTGTAGTAAAAACTTCATCTACACTCACTGTACCAGTGGATTTCTGCCGCAAAAATCCATACTGTGGAACAAAGATGTCCATAATTACCGACAGGATGGTAGGTAATATTTCTGATGTTGATAAAGGGAGATAATAAAGCTGATATTTCACTGAGCAATGAAAGGCAGATAAATCTACATAAAATGAGATTTAACTAAATACACCAACCACGAGTCATGTGACCTGTTCTACCACAATGCAAAAAATATTATCATTTATTTTCACAATTTTCAAATTTTTCCTTCAGAAAAATATGAAATAACAAAAACAAAACAAACATGTTTCAAGGTTGGGGATTTTGAGATTTTGCAATTTTCCAAGCGATACACAATCATGGAGCATAAGTGAACATGAGGTGATGAGAAGAAGCATCGGTTAAGGTTCACCTTGTCAGCTAATAAAACTGTGTTTAAAATTTAATCATTGTTGGATTTATTTATTTTGTTTAAAACAAAACTGAAATCTAATAGACAACTTGAACGTTGAATAAAACAAACCTTGAATATATTTACATAAAATAACATCGAAGAGAGAAGTGTACACTTAAGTCAGATCAAACTTATATTAGTTTTCATGATTTCTGACAAATCTTCTGTTTTACATTAAATACAATTAGTATGAAACACATACCTCATAATACTCCAGATCCACCCTCCCCCCTGCCCCCACTAATGTTAACATAACAGAGAGGACACCCTTACCTCATAGTACTCCAGATAGCTGAAACTCATTGGTACTAGTATACAGATCAGCACCACAGCTATGAGCACCAGCACAATGATCACTTTTGCGACAGTAGGGAGCTTGTCCATCTTCCTAGCTAATTAGGCCACCTGAATAAATAGTCAAGATAAAGCCAAAGGTCACACAAATATTACAAGGACAAGCTCACTAGGTCAATGGGTCACAAAGTCAATGGGTCAGTGTTTCCAGTTAACAGGTCATAGTCTATAAATACACAGAAACTGGATTGATCCTGGTTGTAGGTACAAGTTCACATATACCCTAAGGACAAGGATGCAGGATACAGGGCAGGGCTCTCGATCTGCCAGATTTGGGGCCAATATTCTGCCCCATTCCCAATGCAAAATAGTATCTTTTTTCCCAATTTAGACCCCAAGTTTTCCCAATTCTAAGGAAAACACCATTATTTTTCCCAATTCTAAGGGCCCCGGGCCCAAGTCCCAAAATGGGGTGTGAGAGCCCTGCAGGGTCACAATCTGAGGTCAAAGTCTATGGGTACCAAGTCAAATGCAAAGGTCAATGTTGCATGCCGGTGTCATATCATATTTGGATCCCCCATTAGAAAGGATCCGGATCATTATTCTGGCCATCAGACAATGATCCCCCCTATAGTATTTTGATCCCCTTAAGAGAAGCTATATTAACAATGCATATATTCATATATATAAGGTGATAGTGAAAATATGATGATAGGTGTTATGTTAGCTGTGAAGTTGTTAATTATACCTGGCCAACCAGTCAATTACATAAGAGGATTAAGGGTGGAGGGGTCAAACCTGAGTGAGCACCCATGTGCACATGGCAGGTATACCGAGTGATCACTTAAAGTTACCTGTGGATAAATTCCATTACAAATTGATTGAGGTCATCATTTTATGTAAAAGCTGTGTTTAATATACATTTTTATCGGTGACCAAGTCCAAGACACAGTTACCTATCATATCTCATTTTATTTATAAAGCTATAAAGTTTAAAATAAAATTCACAAGGGGGATCAAAATACTATAGGGGGGGGGGGGGGGTTCCTTTTGTTATGGGGTAAAAGCGATCCCCGGGTCCTTTTCTGATGAGGGAAAAGTGATCCAGATCCTTTTCTGATGGGGGATACAAATATTATATGACACCGGTTACTGGATAAGGTATTTTCAGGAACCAAAGTGTTGGTATCAAGTCAGGTTTTGGAATTTTTGACACCGTACAAAAAACCAAATTCTGGTTGTGTAATAATTGCAGGATTCCAAATTCTCACCTGTTGGGCATCTCTGATGAGAATTGGTAGACTTTAAGCACTCATTAACAATAAAACGGGTATGTCCCTTTCATTTTCAATATATGGTCAAATTTATAAATAAATATTGTCAACTTTTTAAAATAAAAGTAAATCTACTCACAAAGATTTGGAGCTAAATCCCTCCTTCCTTTCGTAAAACGTCCGAGTGATCTAGCTCGAAAATAGGCATTGCGAAATGACCCTATTTTTAATGGAACGTCAAATCTATGTTAGGGATAGCCTAGTTGAAACCCCAAGCGTGAAGGTTTCCATAAACAAAATGAAGACGTTGTGTCTTTGTATCATACAGCACTGGTTCAAAATGCAGAATCGAATAGTATATTTTACTAATATTCGACACTGTGTAATTGTAGTGAGGGATAGTGGACACGAATTGCGAAACACCAGAACTTGCCATTTGCACTTGTTTAGCCGTTGTAGACCTTTAACTCCCATCAACGACCGTTTCCAAGGCGTGAACACACAAACATTACTACGGGGGGAAATACACATTCATTTATCTTCAGATGTTTGAATGTTATCGCCTTACCTTTAAGACTGGTTCAGCTGCTGGCCGAGGAAGGGAACAAAAACTAAAAACTTCCTCCTACGTAAACGTTTCCTCGTATTCACCGAAACTAGCTGTAGCTATAAATAGGTATTGATGCTTAGCTGGGCGTGACGGGTACATAACGATCGTCTGACTGACCACTCGATTGTTAATGATTCAAGATTCAAGATTTTTTATTACTCTCTGACACACATACGCATGTAACAAGAGGTCTTACAATATTTAAATCAGACATAACAGGGAGAGTAGATAGTACACATTAAAGTTCAACATAATCTCATATATTTAGTATCATTTCATGGGCAAATTTAGTAGTGTTTTATGCACAGATTAAGTTTTATTTCATGGATAAATTCAGCAATAAAATTTAAACAGATTCAGTATTATCAAGGACAGATTGAGCAATATTTCATAGAAAGATTCAATAGTATTTCATGGACAGATTCTGTGTTATCATGGACACAATCAGAATTATCATGGACACAGTCATTATTTACATGAGTAAAGGAGTATGTATGGTTTGGGTACCTATGTACCCCCAATATTTTACTGAGAAAAACTGTCTCAGAAAATCAAAAGAGTGAAGACATTTAATAATGGAAGTGTCCATGATTCTAGAATTGTTTTCAAGATTTAAAAAATATCACTAATTTTTTAATATAGCTGTTTGAAAATTGACAAAAAACACGAAAATCGGTGATTTCCCCCATTTCGAGGGTACATTTTACTGAAGTTTACCATGAGCGCAGGCTTGGAACAAGTTTCATATTGATGCTACAAAATAAAAATTTTAATAAAGTCATTGTGTTAAAAGGAAAAACTTGTTCAAGACTGCGCTCATATTAAAAAATTAATTTTTAAAATTATTTTTCGGCATTTTGATGCAAGATCGCGTGTAATATATGGTCCGGAACACGGAAAACGGACTTCGCCGCTATCGATATTTTTGTTTACTGCAGCAGAAACACTCAAATGATGGAGTTAAAACCAACAATTCCTTAATTTTTCACAACCAAGAAAGGTAAGATTTGTTCTTGTTAGCAAAAATTTTTAACTGATGTGATATAAAAAATGAATAGTTTTTTTATTCATCGGACGTCTGCAGCACTTGATTGCATCATCAGTTTTACGTCTGGTTGACAGATGCCCCAATACAGGTAGACGGCAAAAAATCCACTAACTTTGTGTGATGTTTGTTAAAAAATTAATTCAAATGTCATTTATTAACAATAAAATCTATTTAAAGGTATCTCAATACTTTTTAAAGTTCTGAAACAGTATTATTCTGTGCTGCCAAGCCCAGCTTGAATGTTGTTGATGTTGATCGCCGAACAAACTGTGAAGTGTCGTCTGGACTGAAGGCGAGATCACAATAAATTCAAGAGTAATTCATTATAAACTTCAACAGAGACTGTGTGTCTTGTTGAAGTCCACTGAAAATGTCTTCTTTCTGTCTGAAAAATATTCGTTTTATTAACTAAGGAAAAATAGAAATGAAAGAGCGCATCTATTTATACTCATTGTCTTGGAAACAGCCAATTATGGGTTCCAATCCTGATGACCATTGATTTTATTTTTTTTATATTCAATTTAAGATACAAAACTATAATACATATTTTCTAGCGAGAACTTTGCAACACATTATTATTTTTAACATTAATTAAAACTATTTGTGTAATTAATTAAGCTCTGACTTCAAATCCTGTTGACAACTCTTATTTATTTTGATTTCAAATAAAAAAATACCTATTCTTAATTTAATTTAAAATGCAACCATGTAGTCTGTTCTTGAAAGTGCTTAGCAACATTTTATTTTTTTCACATTAAGAAAATAACATTTGTAATATTAATTAAACTGTGAGTTCAAATCTTGTTGACAATCCATATTTCACAAACATTTATCGACATTTGTGTGAGTTACAGTTGTGCTGGTGCCTGTTCCTTTTTATTATTTTTTCTTAATTTCAGTGTAAAAAACTTAACAACATATTCACTAAATAATGTGTAATTATTGATCAATTATGACAAAAATATGTTATGTAATTTAAATATGAATATAATATCTATGTTTACAACTTTTAATTTCTTATACAATGTATAGAACACACATTCTTTTGAGTTCCACATAAAAAGTTGTCACTTTTATGTTTACATATTCTTTTTATACTTTTCTACGTTACCGTGATTCATATGGTTGGTATAAAGTATTAATATACTTATCAAATATTTCTTTCCAGATGCCAAAAGACATCCCATGTTGCTTGTGCTTCAAAAGGTGTAAACCAAATTCCAGAAGGCATATCCCACCTGGCGTGGCCTTTAAAAGATATGTGGAGCGATGTGTTGGCAGGGACGTGAGTAGCAATGACATGATATGCGGGACATGTACGGCACGAGTGTATAGGAGTCTTCCAATATTTCACCAGAAAAGAACCACTTGTGAAAACTGACGCAACATCAGAAGCACATTGCAGGGCAATGCTTGCAAAGTCCAAGGAACCAAATACAGTGAAGGCATTTTTGGAAAGCAACAACTTACTAAATAAGAGAACTGTTTATCAAAAGCTGGAAGCAGAAGACTTGATGGACTTCCCTAAACTTTCCATGGATGACTTACGAAACATCACCATGGGAGTTTATCAACTTAAACAGGCTCCAAGTTATACAAAGGAGCACTGTGTTGAAGATGGACTGTATGAGTTGCTGGTCTTCTCAGAAAACCCTAATCTGATCAAGTTAAAAATACAGTCTCGACACTGTAACAGCAGAGCACATTCTTTGTGGATTGAGTATGACTCACTCTCTGATGATCCCATCAAAGGTTGGTACTGCACTTGTAAAGTAGGCTCAAGAGTGGTCGGTTGCTGTGCCCACATTGCAAGTGCATTGTGGTTTCTAGGATATGAACGCTTCCAAGGCAAATCATCTGGGGCAGTGACTATTTCAACAAAGTCTTTGGCTGATGCAGCTGACATTCCAACAACAGATTCCGACACGGATGAGGAGTATACAGAGGAATAAACTGTAACACTATATGTATTTAAAGTAGATATAATTTGAAGTCGCTTATCACTTGTTCATTTTCATGTTTGTTAAATTCTGTGAACAAAACCAAAGGTATACATTGATTATATGCTTCGAATATGCTTTGCTTTCAAAAGCACCAGTGCAGACGTATGAAGCAAAATAGAAACCGATAACAGCTTCAGGTGATGTTCTTGCTATGAAAAGAATATGTTAACAATTACAGGTATGCTATGTGATAGACTCTGTTGCTAGGGTACTAACTTTGATCTGTATCAAAATGTTTATATTATACATATTTCGTATGAAAAGGTTAGTTCATGTAAAGTGATAATGATCTGTTTTCATTAAATAACGTACAATAAAAAACATTGAAACAATATAAAACAAGAGGCCCATGGGCCTTAACGGTCATCTGACAAAAAGCAAGCCAAACCTAGAAAGTGGGTTGAGGTCATTCATTTGAACAAACTTGGTAGCCTCTCCTCCAAGCATCTTACAGGCCCAATATCAGCACTCATGGACTTTTGCTTGTTGAGAAGAAGTCGTTTGTATATTTTAACATATACCCCTGTGACCTTGAAAGTGGGTTGAGGTCATTCATTTGAATAAACTTGGTAGCCTTTCCTCCCAGCATGCTACAGACCCAATATCGGCACTCATAGACTTTTGCTTATTGAGATGAAGTCCTTTGTATATTTTAACATATTTGAACCTTGAAAGTGGGCCAAGGTCATTAATTTGTTTGTAGGGCTCCATAGCATGCTATGGGCCAAGTATTAGCCCCCTAGGCCTTCTAGTATTTGAGAAGAAGTTATTTAAAGATTTTGACATATTTGACCCCTGTGACCTTGAAAGTTGTTCAAGGTCATTCATTTAAACAAACTTGATAGCCCTTCATCCCAGCATGACACAGGCCCAATAACATCAATCTGAGCCTTTTGGTTATTGAGAAGAAGTTGTTTAAAGATTTTAACATATTTGACCCCTGTGACCTTTAAAGTGGGTCAAGGTCATTCATTTTAACAAACTTGGTAGAGCTCCATGCCAGTATCCTCTGTGCCAAGTATTAGCCCCCTAGACCTTCTAGTATTTGAGAAGAAGTCGTTTGAATGAAAAGTTTACGGACGACGCACGGCACACGGCGGACGACGACGGACGAAGCATGATGACTATAGGTCATCGGACCCTTCGGGTCAGATGACCTAAAAAAATAACAGTTTAGGTCATATTCTTGCCATGTGTAAGAATACTTTGCTAGGGCACCAACTTTGATCAATACTCTAATATCTATATTGTGATACCTTTATTAGAAAGTTTAGCTACTGAAAACATGAGAAATATTTTGTTTTCATTAAGTACAGCAGAAGAAAAATCTTGAAACTGGAAAGAAAATGTTGTTATCAATATAAGTTATTGTTGTTGCTATGCGACACATTCTGTTGCTAGGGAAATTATTGTCACTTCCCAAATGTTTGCATTATAATACCTTTGTAAAAAAAGTTAGTCCATATAATTATGTCACATATGCTATGATTTGTTTTCATTTCACAAGTTCGGACGATAGAAAATGTTGTTACCAGTAATAAATCTTATAGCCATGCCGTTGCTATGTGATATAATTCGTTGCTAAGGTACCAAATGTAAATATATTAAAAGTTTAATTTAAGCCTTTGCTAGCAAAACCCATTAGTTGATAACTTCCATAAGTGATTTAATTACATCAATATTAAGCAGCATATTTGTATGATAATTAAAAGTTACAGAATCTTTTTGTAATGCTTTGTGTCATTTTTCTCTTAAAAAATACTGGTGTGACACCTATATTTTAAGTGCCGCTACGCATGCGCCGAGAAAGAAAACATGCTAAAATCCCCCAATTCATTAATTACGTTACTATCCTTTCTCAATATAGGTATTTCATCAAATTTGAAGAGGGGGCCAAATTTGACCCAAATCATACATACTCCTTTGGAAAGGATTTGCTACACTTAACACTTAATATTCAAGATCAATAGTAACTTTTCTTTATCAATCACATTTTGTAAAACTAATAGAAATTTGAATGAATCAATGTTTAATTTTTTTTAAAGATTGATTTGGATTAAAAATTTTTTTTCCAAGCACAAAATTTCTTTGGTAGGCTTTATCAGCAACAAGTTGAAATGGACAAGGAAAATCAAGTAAAATTTAAATGTACAATATTTTGAACTCATTCTTGAAAAGTAATAAAAAATATTAACAGTAATGTCATCTTTCAAGTTTTACTAAATGCATCTCTAGAATTGATTTAAATTTTGTCAGAAGAATTCATGAGTGTAGGGGAACCAAGTTTGTATTGATAGTGGGTCCTGGCCCCAAAGGCCTCTGAGGCTGGTCTGGGACAAAGATATGGCCTAATAAGAGAAATTGAGGAAAAGTCTTGTGTAAAGGGAAACCAATTTTGTATAGGAGCTGCAGCTACAGCCACAATCCTCCGATCCTTCCTCCAATCCAGGGCAGCCATGCGAGGTAATCAGCTAAAACAGATCCAGCACGGTACAGTCAGCATTTTGTAAATCCCCAGTATCATCTTCATTAATCCCTGCAATCTTCATCATCTCCATGAAACCAATCACCATTACAGCCATAACTATATCAATCCCTGAAATCATCACCATTACCTATAACAGCTAAATTCAGCCATGCCAGGTCAGCTCATCCCAGGATCCACCTGCAAGATATTATTCTGAGAGAAATTCATACTTCAGATTATCAACAAAAACACTGTATTCCCATCGGTTTTGGTAAAATTGGTGATGCTGCACCACCATTGTGATTACTGTTGACAAAACAAATCTCACAAAAATCATACACAAATGAATACACAAAATAATTTTTCTACAAAATAACACTATTTAACATTCATCATTATTACTGAATTAATCAAACATACCTTAACTTGGTACAAATCCATGGCTGACTGCAGGGGACAGAGAAGTAGGGCAAAAGAGTCGAACTCTAGAAACAGAGAAAGTAGGGTCTAAAGGGTCTGATTATTGGGGCCTGAGGAATAGGGTCTTAAGTGTCTGACTCTAGGGGACAAAGGCGTAGGGTCTAAAGGGTTCGATTCTAAGGGACTGAAGAATAGGGTCTAAAGGGTCTGACTTTACAGGGGACAAAGGAGTAGGGTCTAAAGGGTCTGATTCTAGGGGACTGAGGAAGTAGGGTCTAAAGAGTCTGACTATTGGGGACTGAGGAATAGGGTCTAAAGGGTCCGACTCTAGGGGACAAAGGATTAGGGTCTACAGGGTCCGACTCTCCAAGGGAAAAAGGAGTAGGGTCTAAAGTGTCCTATTCTAGGAGACTGAGGAAGTAGGATCTAAAGTGTTGGACTAAAGGGGACCAAGGAATAGAGTCTAAAGGGTCTGATGCTACGGGACAAAGGAGTAGGGTCTACAGGGTCCGACTCCCAAGGGGACAAAGGAGTAGCGTCTAAAGGGTTCTATTTTCTAGGAGACTGAGGAAGTAGGATCTAAAGGGTTGGACTAATGGGGACCAAGGAATAGGGTCTAAAGGGTCTGATACTAGGGGACAAAGGAGTAGGGTCTACATGGTCCGAATCTCCAGGGGACAAAGGAATAGGGTCTACAGGGTCTGAACCTAAGGGACTAAAGAGTAAAGTCTAAAGGGGCTATCTGACAATAAAGCTATAAACACTAAAAATGGCCTAAATTTTAGGAATTTAATATAAATACTCCCTTTCTGAAATTGTTCCTTTTTGATGAAAATTTGATAAAAAAAACACAGTTGCTGTCTGCCCTGAATTTACTAAATCATTTTGCAGTAAATTTTGAAATGATTTTCCAATTTGAAAAGCAAACTAACCAGAGAATAAATTTGGAAAGGATTTGCTACTTCAAGATCAATAGTAACTTTTCTTTATCAATTACATTTTGTAAAACTAATAGATGTGTAGCATACTAAAAATAATCACAGTTCCCAATTTGTTAGCGGGACCAATACACCAGTGCAGTTATTAGTAGGGTAGTGCATGCCTGTTAACAGTACAGGTGTTAGAGAGGACAATGGAACTATGATTGTATGCAGCATACAGAGTTATTGAGTAAAACTAATGAATTTGAATAAATCAATGTATGGAATTTTTTTTTAATCAGGAAAACTTTCAATTTACAATATTTTGATTCCATTCTTGAAAAGTAATAAAAATATTTACAGTAATGTCATCTTTCAAGTTGCAATAAAAGCACCTCTAGAATTCATTTAAATTTGATCAGAAGAATTATTGAGTGTAGGGGAACCAAGTTCCTATTGATGGAAGGTCTCCCCCCCCCCCCCCCCCCAAGGTCTGAGGGGTGGGTCTGGGACAAAAATGTGGCCTACTAAGAGAAATAGAGTCTAAATGTGGGTGATACAGAGGACACCTCGAACCTCCTGAGGCATCAGTTTGTACCAATTAATGGAAGGACCAGTTGTAACCCTACCTAGTGCTAGTGATGTTCCGTTAATCGGTTAACATCTATTCACGGCTAGAAAAAGCTGTCAATTTCGATGATCGATATTAATTTTCCAAGAATCGATAATCGAACGCACCTAAATAAAGGGAAGTTACTCTTAACTTATATCTCATAGAAATCAAAATGGCAGATGTCTCGTATGTTCTAAATGTAGACAGGAAAAATGTGCCTAGTGAAAAACAATGTGAGATACATAATCATCCTTGTGTGAAAACAAAATCCGATGTGTGGAAAGAGTTTGGATTTTTTAAGATAAACGAAAATTTGCAAGTATCTAAAAAGAACTTGACATCAGCTGTTTGCCATCTGTGCTGCAAATCGTACAAAAACACAGGTAAAGTACCAGAGTTAATTTCGTAGTATAAAAAACCTTTTAATCGTTGATACATGTTTTATTTTATTTTTTAAATACTATTGCTACTTTTCCGCCGTTATTGTGATGCAGTTATTTTATAATTACATATCACAGTAATGTGACAT